ACTTTCATTATTACACTCGCGCCCACTAACATCCTCTATTGACCGAAATATAAAACATGTGAAAGATTTTTATACCCGGAAGCAATGATGCAAGGAATTTATTTAAATGTAATGACGTAGTATATTTTAATAATAGAATGATTGTAGCAGTTTATGGAAAATAACCGGAAAACATTATTCTTTATTGAGTAATATTCTGTCTTAGAATATTTCTGTTTAGAAATTTAGTACAAATTTAGTACAAGCAAGATGTAGGTACTTTTCGTTACATTGTTTCCTAGCGCCTTTCTTATCTTGTACAGATATCTTCGAAATATTATGTAAAGTAAAGTCGATATATTAAATTGACATAAACCGTAACTCTCTTTTTCTAGGTCATTGAGATCGTTTATGAAGAAAGGAAAAAAAGAAAAAACAGAAACGAAGCCGAGTCAGCAGAATGGAGAGAGCAGTCCTGTGGTCTACAGGCGGGCTTTACAATGTAATTACAGTCTATTTTCCTCTTTTCAAAACCTATCCAAAACACATTGCATAGTCACGTGATTAGACAAACCATCGACGTTTAAAATAATAAGCGACTTAATCGCTAATTATGTAGAAAAAACCGTTTAAAAATATACCGTTTATAAATAAACCGCTATTATCATTGTTCTGCATTCATAATGAATAATGTATTAAAGTAAATAAAACGATGCTGCGAGATGCGAGGAAACAAAAAAATACGAACTTGTCCAACATTTCAGTCATCATTGCATGTAACATAAAATAAGTTTAAGTACGTGTAGTTTTAAACTCTCAAATGATACAATATAGTTTTGGAGCAAGTCAACTATTATATTATGCGATAGTGTAAGTTTTGAAGGTTATGAAATTAATTCTTAGCTTCACGTTTTCTAGAATTCACATAAGTATTCAACATTAACATTCAATGCCCGAGAATCGAACTATCCAGTCTGTAGTTTGTGTTGATAAGGTGAATAAATAAATCGATTGGGTGGCACTAAAGGTCATGTGAAGGAAAGAACGTATAATACGAATCATTGAGTCACGATAGTAGAAAATCCTAACAAAAAGTAACATTTTTGAAGGAAAGGGGATATTTAAGATTTTCATTCAAATTTGAGCGACAGCTTCATCTGACGCCTGTAGAAAACCTTCCAACCTTTGGCAGTCTCGTAAGTTATAATATATTATCTTGTTCTCATGTTTAGACTCGTCAGCGTCGGGTGGTGGTGCAGGCACGCGAAGCACGGTTGGCTCACCGGAGCGCGCAGATCGGTACGTGTATGGAGGTTCAGTGACGCCGCTGCCACGGTCGCGCTTCCAGGAGCGTCTGCGCAGTCCTAGCCAGCACGAAGTCAACTCCATCAGGTAAAACACAACTATTTTAGTACAGTTATAGTTAGATTATAGTACAATACGATTGTGACTGGATATATTGTTCTTTTAACTTTCCAGCACAACGCCACGCATGGCCCGCAGTGATATAACGGGCTCGCGGCTAAGCGTGGAGAGTACCAACCCCTTCGATGAGTGCCCCGTGCCGCCCGTGCGCGCCTCACGACGCAAGAAAAAGCGCGCGCCTCTGCCCCCGCCAACCACTGCCACTTCTGACGTAACGGTACTTATAAAATCTAGCTATTTTTATTTAAACATTTTGTGTCCAAACTGCAATCTGATGGTTGAGGTTAACAACTACTATACAAACAATAGTTTGGTTTTTAATTTGTAATTGTTTCATGTTACAGGTGGAACAAACAGAGTTGAGAATAACTGAAACGGACGATCAACAAAAACAAAATAATAATGCTGAAGAAGAAATAGAAAATGTTAATCTGAATATTGAACTCAAAATAGTCGAAGATGAAGATGTTCAGAACACAATTATGGAGACAAGTCCTACCACAGTCGAAGATATATCAACAGCGACAGTTTCAGAAAAAATCAATGAAACAGAAAACAAAATCGAAGCTACAAACGAACAAGTGAACGGCAAAGATGATGAAATAAGCAAAGTAAAAAGTGCCGATTCTGAAGATGATATATTGAACAAGGTGTCGTTTCCCAAAATCGATATAAATAAATATAGAAGAAATTCAAGCGTAAATGAAGACGATATTAGATTGAGGAGAGGTAACTTAGAAGACTTCCATTCTTTATCCAATAAAAGGAGCAAAAGCTTAACTAATGCTCTGGATGGATCGTACGTGTCTTACGATATAAACTTAAATGAAGACAAAAGTAACATAGACGTGAACAGCAATGAAGAACCTCAGATAGTTGTATGCAAACTTTACGATGATCCGAGAAAACATAGCATCGATAAATCTATTTCAAGTACAGAAAATGAATTTATGGAAATCGACAAAGCTACAAGGGAACTAGAAAGGGAGATCAGTAAGTTAAATTCTGCTTTACACGAAGAAGATATAACACTACAAGGAACGCGACTTTCAGTCTCGGATATAAGGAGGAAATTTGATAAACCTGACGTTTCATCACCAAATCCAATACCAAAGCCAAGAAGAAGTCACTACGGCGACACGCAATCAACTGCTAACGGAAATATACAAATATGAGTTTTGTAACTTTGAAATCGATATTTATAAAACATTTTATATAATTGGATCTCAGGCATATATGCAATATTGTACATTTTGTCTGCTCTTAGAAATAAATTGGGTCCAAGTCAACACAAATGAAACATTAATTTCCAATTAATCTATGGCAACATTATATCATAAGTTACCATTTTATTATTTATGGCTTTTGACGTAAACATTAAAAATGTAGAAATAAACTTTCCGTGTTTTAGCCTGATATAAATTTAATAATACTTGTCAAAGTAAAGTTTTTATATTTTGTTTTTTTTTACATAAAGATTTATTTATATTGCATATACTTAAGAATAAAGATACTTTTTTATTTAAATCATGTGATATTGTCCAAATTATTTATTTACAAGAACAATTTAGTTACATTTAATTAAGTAAACATTTGGCATTATTTATTAGTGGTAATATTTTACGTAATGTACAAGATTCCTAATAATTTATAAGAGTTACATTTATATCGGGATTGCTATTTTTTGTTATTGATATGCCTGTTGTTTATAATAATAAATATTTATTCTTCATCATTTTTTTATTAAATTTTAATAAAACCAATAGAAAAACAGTAAATAAAACTAAAAGATACTTGCATTTTTTTAATAACTGTTATGATACAATTATTATAAACAAATTAAAATTCTTATCCTAATAAATACAAATCTATACGATTTATTAGACATTTATTATTAAAGTAAAAAAAATGTTTAAAAAATAATAAGTCATTCCATTCTGAATCTTCTATAAATGACTAACTCGTCCCTTCTTGTACTTAATAAATCGCGGTAAATTAGAAGTTGCCGTGGAGACCAGTACTTTATATTCTTTTGGAAGTTTCCTTTGTTGTCTTGCCTAGAAACACAAATAAAAATTTAACTTTTGCCTCACTTAGTTATGTCAAATTAAAAAAGTAAAAATGTTACAATAATTTAGTAAAAAAAATATATTGTTTGGTCCAGTGTCAACATACCTTATTCTTTAATATAGGAGCTAGTATAGATAACTTTTCAACCAATTTAACTTTAGCGGCTAATTCATCAGTCTCATCTTCGGAATAAAGATCTACTAATGTGTCTATGGCTTCGGCCAACACCCACACTTCATTCTCTTTATGAGCCTGCTCTAGTATAAAATCAGTTATAGCACATATCACATTTGAACTGGTTTCATTTAACTTATTTACGAGTAATAATGCCAGAATCCCAATCATGCGAATAAGGTTTGACCGTATCTCCGGAACTTGACACTCCCTGATACCTGTTATCATCATCTGTAAGAAAACCAGAAATTTACCAATAATAAAAGGAAAGATTTGTATTATTGTATTTAAAAAATAAACTCAATAAGTACTGGAGCGATTTCCAAAAATCACTTTGCCATTAAAAAGCTACATTTTCAGAAACATACCTATTTCATTTAATTCTAGATTTTTTTTTAAATTCCGATTGAATGAAGTCACGGACAAAAGCATCCAATGTTAACCATCTTATTGTAGAGAACATATTTTAATTTAGATTGAGTAAAAAGAGGCACTGTG